CCTGATGCATATGAAAGCGTGAATAGGTGCAAGGATGCGAGAGTAAGGGGGGGCTGGGGGAATCACAGACCTCAAGTGCTACTTTGTCCAGGAAGCATTGCAAGAGGGCTCCTGTGCTGGGAAAGCTGCTGGATTTGCCTGCTGTGGGAGCTGAGATGATAGCTAAGGAAAGGTGGCTGGTGATAGAAAACATGGCCCACTCAGCAAGAGCTTTAAAGTGGGAGGTTAAAGGAGTGTCTGTGAAACCGGCCTTAGGCTCTAACTAGAAGTGAGGGAACTGAATGCTATCCTGAATTTCCTGACAGCTCATCAAAAGCCAGAGATATGAGGGGGAGATATCTGGGTAGATTGCTCACTGAGCTGACACAGACACTTATTTTGAAGTTATTATGAAAAATATGAAGTTAAACTTACTGCGCTGGTTGTCCAAGTCAGAGGCATGGGAGGGGCGCTGGGATTTACTGCCCAGTAAATGCAGAGGTGCTCCTGGAGTGGCACATTCCACAGTGGATGGCTGGTGTCACAGAGCACACTGTGCTGCTCCAGGGTGTTGCTGAATGTGGCCTGCTCCTCTTTTGACACTCAGCTGGAGCCTTGGGTGCTCAGCTCTCTCTGTCGTGTGGAAAAGTGTGCTCCAGGTTCTGAAGGTGACAGTTCACATAGCCCTTGGAGCCAGAGACTGGAAAACATCAGTTCAGGAGCTCCCATGGAGGAGCCATTTATTTGCAGATGCTGTCACCTGGTTTATTATTAGCTCTTGGATTTTCAGTGTTTTTCTCTAGAAATACATACACACACACACATTTTGGAAGATTAATGAATTCCAGCTCTATATCACTTTTACCAGTGATGCTTTGTCTGGGAAACTACTGTCCTTAAGAATTATGGATTGCAATGACTCAAATCTTGGCAGAAACTGCTTAATGCACAGGAGAACACCTTAGCATTGACTATCAGGATTTTTTAATTTAAATTCCAGTTTTTCCCCAAGTTTCTTTTCAGGACAACAGTAGGTCAGTAGATATATTTTCCTCCATTTCCTCTCTCCTCTCCACCTGGAGTGGGCCTTGTCCTGCTCTGTTTATCTTTTTGAATGCTAATCCATATTGAGGTTCCAAGACAGTTTCTCCTCACAAGAAATGAAATTGGTGTGGGGATGCAGGTGTGTGTTTGTGTGTTCTCAGTGTTGCTTGCTCATATTCTGCAAAATACCTCAGTCATCTCTCAGGGCCTCTGTAGAGTGTCCCTGTGACTTCTCCCTGCTGAGCAAGAGCTCTGTGCAAATAGAGAAACCTTCCTCACTGCTTGCAAGGCCTTTCCCATTGGAAATGTCTTAAAAATAATATCAATGCAGATTTCCTAAAGACTAAACATGACTCACTGCTGGCGCTTGTGAGACTGTTTCTAACAGCTCCATCCAGTGGCTTTGGCTGTAACATGAATGTGGGGTTTGCCTCACAGGGGTTCAAGACCTTTGGGGCTGGGAAATGCTGCTTTAAGACAGATGATTTGACAGTTATCACCTTGCAGAAGGAAGAGTAATTGATTTAAAATGAGAGATGTGGTGTTTACGTTTTGAAATTACCTGTGAGGAATTTTTATTCTCCTTGCAATCAAATGGCTCCCACTTCTTGGTGTGCAAGGGGAGACCGTCCCTCTTCAGTGGCTGGAACATAAATTATGCTTGTTAGGAAGATGAATAGAGTTCCTGTGTACAAGGGATTTCTATTTTTAAAGAGCAAAATATCCCAGGTGAACTCACTCATGCAGGAAAGACCTGCTCTACAGTTCAGGAGAGAATGTTGGAATTGTTCAACAAGTTTTTGATGTCTCATTTTTGTTGAAAAAATGCCAATTTCTTAATACAAAGCCTTTGATTTTCAAAATTATCTTTAATTTTGAAATTTAGTTGTTTCCCTTCACTTCTGAACAAAATATTTTAATCAGGTTTTTATTTTAAATCTTGTCACTTTTGTGGGAGTGATGCAAGTAGATATTCAGGCTGCAAAAATTTGAGATTTCAATTTTACTGTCTTGGTCAGGATGGGAAAAAAGCTCTCAAAATCTCAGAAATTCTCATGGGTCAGGGGAAAAGAAAGGTTTCCCACAGAGCTCTAGTCAATGGGAGTGTTACCATAAACTTCCCTGTGCCTTGGATCAGGCCCTGAGAGCGTATCGGAGATTTTGTCAGCCTCATTGATTGCACAAACCAGCCTTGTTATGAGGAAACATTCCTGGGCCAGACAGAATTCTGACATTTGTCTGTAGCCTTCACATCGAGGAGAGATTATTGTCTCCAGAGGGCCATTCTTAATGATTTAAATCTGAGGTAGATCGTTTTTTCTGGCAGTGTGTGTGTAATCTAATCCATATATTGTTGAAAATAATTGGCGTGAGCATAGAGTTGCTCTGCGGCTGTGGTCAGTCGCTATTGACTGCATCGAAACTTGCTGACTAGGTGGTAGAAATTATAAGAGGACCTGGAAAACCAAAGTAAATAATAATAATAAAAAAATAGTCAAGAAGATATTCAAAGTGGGGAAATGTGGAAGTAGAAATGCTTCCCACTGGGATCCCTTTGGAAGCAAACAGTCTGAGCTTTAGAAAATTTCCTCTTGATAATTACACGTCAGATAACATCACACAGGCCGTATGACCAAGAGTATGTAAAATCTGTGTTTGTTTCCTTCCCAAAAAGCTGGATGGTGACTTAAGGCTCATCCTCTGAGCAAAGGATGGTGTGTAAACTGCACCACCCAAGGAGCAGCCCCGGGAGGCAGCGTGACTCACAGCCACGCTGCTGAGGCACAGATCCCTCCCTGCTTTCCCTCCACTCCTCAGGCTGTAAAACAGAAAGATTCTGCTCTTCGGTTTGGGCTTTTTCTATTTGTTTGTCTCCCTTAAAGATAAAGTGACTGCAGTGGCACAGCTACCCCAGCTTGTAGTTGGTGTTGGAGGGAGAATGCTTGGAGCAGGGACACCTTCCTCTAGACCAGGCTGCTCCAAGCTCCATCCAGCCAGGCTTTAAACACTTCCAGGGATGAGGCAGCCACAGCTGCTCTGAAGAACCCTTTCCAGTGTCTCACCACTCCCAGAGTAAAACATTTCTTCCTGATATCCCATGTAAACCCAAACTCTCAATTTAAAGCCATCACCTCTTGTCTTTGTAAATAGTCCCTCTATCATTCTTGTAGGTTCCCTTCAAGTACTGGAAAGTTGCAGTTACTTCACCCCAAAGCCTTCTCTTTTCCAGGCTGAAGAATTCCAATTCTCTCAGCCTTTTTTCATCTTCTGGAAGCAGGGATATGAGGACAACTCCAGTTTGTATCATACCCCAGTATCAGAGTAACTTATGGAAGTGAGTTATTTCTCAAGCCTGGCTTAGTAAAGCATTTCAACACACTCTTTAATGCTTTTAAATGTTGATTGGATTTAAATATGTGCTTAAAAATAAGTGCTCTAATGCTTCACCAGAGAAAAATGTTGCTATGAGATTATATTCCTTTGCAAATGTTCCGCACATTGCTTCCACCTCCTCTGCATTCCTGCCCTGTCCTGTGGTGAAAGGGCTTTTTGCTGACTTCAGCTTTGGACACCTCACTACTTGCTAATTAGAAAAATATTTTAGACATTGTTTATTAGGACTTGGCACTATCTGTTAGTGTTGCTTCTGTATACTAATCATATGTTTGGATTGAAAACAGAGAAAGGCTGGGGTGGATGGAATATTCTTGGTAGTACCCTACAGAACAAGACATCAACAGCAGTCTTTCCCCCTGGGGTGCAAGGTCCACTTTGAGACACATCTCACATGTTGAACTGATTAGAAAGGTATTTGAATAGGAAAAAGGCCAAATTTTAGCCAACAGGTTGAATTTTATTTCAGCCCCAAGAGTTAACTTTGCAAAAGAAATCAGGCCTCCCATTTCCCATCCCTTGGCACTCATGCTTCCTCCTTTTCTTTCCATGATTGCATTAATTGTCAACTGAAAGAGACATTCAATCCATAGGTTAATTTCTTCAACATGAGTAGTTTTAGGGATACTGCTCTTAAACATTCATCATACTTTTTAATTTAGCATAAATCTGTGCAAAACACAGCTTTAGGAGGTTCTATTGAAACTGCAGTTATAAATATTTCACTCAAATTATTGATCAGTGCTGAAGACAACCTCTTATGCTTGTTAAAAATGCAATAATTTTTATTGACTCTGATTATTAATGAACATTAACAAACTGAAAAAATCCTTGTCCTGCAGTTTGGTGGGTTTCTTTTGTTTTGCTTTTTTTAACCTTCCATCTATTGAATCTGCTGGTTGTTGAGCATGTAGATGATGGAACATTTGGGTAAAGAAGTGACAGGAGCTGAGAGAAGACAGTCTGGAGTACACAACCACTGCTGTCACAGTGTATGTAGGCACAGAACTCACTTTCATACCAGGGCAAACTCTTTGCTGCGCTACTGTGCATGGGTACATGAGCTATGCCAAGGATTTAAACATCCTGGGAGACTTTGAAACTATAGTTTTATGTATTTTACTGGAGGGTAAGCTTGTAGCTGTGCTCTTGATCTCACTGAAGAGTGGTGTGTGGAGCTTCTGCTGCTTGGACCAGAGCATGAAGGAAATCCTGGGTTAGAGACTCATGGTGTTTTTACTGTGGTCCCTTTGCTTCAGAGAAAAGTGGCTGTCCCTTTCAACACTCAGGTCCTGTAGTGTTCAGTCCTGAGACTGAATGCTGTGTATATATCCCTAATTACATCTACCTACATATTGCTGGGGGATTGCAACCAAGTTTTCCTTAATTGGAAAAGAATATTTCCTACTCATCTTATGGAGCAGCTTCCACGATGTAACTGATAAAATAAAGGCTTGGTTTAGCGTGATAAAAAGATGTGTTTGCACTGGGAAGTGGAGGGAACTGTGGAGTTTATGATGCTCTTACAGGAGAAAGTCACATTTGTTTACTTGAAATAATTCTTGTTTCCCTGCCTAACATAGGTGAGGACTTAGCTAATGCATTCCACCTGCCAGAGTCAGCAGGGGAACTCCAGAGACAAGCTTCAAGCTGCTCTCAAACGGCTTCTAGTAAGACATCTATTGAATTGATAAACAGCAAAGGTATGTGCAAGACAAGATTAGTGAATTTATTGATTTATTTTTAGGTCAGTTTGTTTAGAAAAGACAAGTTGTGCTCATGTCGATTGAGCATTTCTCATTTTCAGGTATCACACTGGAGGTAAATGTCAATATTTGAATTTCCATTCACATAATTTTTGGATCTAGTTAAAGTACAAAATCTTGCACTTTTATATTTAATGGAAACTTTAACTACCTCCCTCTCCCCTACTCTCCCCTCTGCCCCTCTCATAACATCTCAATAGTTTGAATTTGTCCCTCTTTACATGTGGGACCTTTCAGAAAGGCACAGCTTGATGGATGTTACAAACTGAACAATGACTGTCTCATTATTGCACATCTCATATATGAGATTTTCTCCTCTTCCACACCTTGTAGAATTTTTCATCTGGGGGTGAAATTCTCCCATATTCCCATCAGTGTTGGGTACACCCAGCCAGTACCAGAGTTGCAGAGCTCAGGTTGTAACAAAAGTGACAATACTGACATAAGGAAGAGGAATGGAAAGAATTAACTTGTGCTGGCTGCGTTGTGGGTATCTCTTAGCATGAGGTAGCAGTGGAGAACAATGTTTATTCATTAAGATATAATTGCTTGGAGCTAGATGCATTTCTGCCTTCCATGCTGGTTTGCTTTGAATGCCTTGTGTTTGGATTTTTCTTTCTCCTCACTGTAATTTGCTGTGCACTGATGGGGATAAACGTCATCAAAGGTCTGAAGCTTTTGATGTTTCTCATATAAGATGCAAATGTTTAACAGATGAAAATTATTTGCTAATAAGTAAATAAATATCAAAAGCAGCAGTACAAATAAAACCCCCTTGTGTAATAGTGTCTAAAAATTCAAGTGACTTATTTAAACACTAGTCAGGCCCTTCTTTGATGTATGTGAATATTTTCAGGCAGAGGTATTCTCATATTGTTAGACCGTAACTGTTATTTTCATTTTCTTTAGACCTCACTTGAAGCATACTGGGGCAGCGTAGAACCAGTGAATCTTTCTAGATATATTGGAGCTCAGGGACAGAGGTAGGAGGGAGCCCTTCAAATGTCAGTGATTCCCATCCACTTATCTGTTCAACTTGTCTTGGAAGACTTCCTGTCTCTCAAATCTGGCAGAAAGTCTCTGTGTGCTCTGTATAGACTCCTACAAACTTCTTGGATTCGATATTAAGCTCAGGGGGTCCTCATGCATCTCTGAAAATTTCTGCAGGCTGCTATAATAAATACTGGGCAGCTGAAAACCATCTAAAATCAGGATTTCAGACTGAGAGGTGAACTTGCCTTGACTATGTCACTGTAAGACCTATTTTGCTGCTAATCATTGCAGCCGACTCAGAGCAAGCCAGAAGAGTTGCCTGGCCATTTTTTATCATGACAGCCTGAATCTTTGTAGTACTCCAGCTGAAATCTGGGAAAGGATGTTGGGCTGGACATGTTATATCTTGACTGTTTTTTGGCTGATTGCTGTTTAGGGGTCAAGGTGCTTTGCCCTTTGGGTTTATTCACTTGCAGCTTGGAATGGCTGAAGTATTAAAACCCTTAAGTGCATTTCTTGTCAAGGACCTCTTAAATCAAACACAGCTTAAACGAGTTACTGAAAAGAAACAGTTTCCACTTCTCCCTTAATCTGTCTCCCATGCTCAGTAATTGATGTCTCGTTTCATGAGTCACATTAGCTTGCCCCAGGTTAAATCTCTTGCAGCCTAATCCTGCACATCCTTCCGTAGCTGATGTCTGTGCTGGGAGATGGGGAAGATTTTGCATGAGTGAGGACTGCCAGATGGGTTTCTGCAGGAACTTGTGTTGTTTTTACCTAGAGGGGAAAGAAACTTCAGGAAAAAAAGAGCATCTATAATTCTTTGCCTCTTGGGTGACTGGAGAGGTGACCTGGGTTGGTCTGGGGATTCCCATGGAGAATCTGTTGATGAGGGGTTCTGTTGTATGAACATGCAAGATATGGAAGCATTTGGGATCTGATGTTATAGCACCTAGGAAGCAGCTAAAAACACATGTGAGGCAGGTAAACCAAGCAGAGATTTCAGCAGGGCTAGAGTTAAAAACAGGCATGGCAGCCTGGACTTGATGATCCCTGCAATTGAGTGTGGACTGCCCTGTTTAGGGAGATGGAGTTGGGAATGTGTAAATTATGTTATTTTGGTTTTTGTCACTTCTGCAGGGAGGCTTTTCTGAGCTGGGAAATATATTCGTAGAATTTCTCAAAATATCTAACAGCCATTCTCTTCTTTGATTTCTTCTGGTCTACTATTTTGTTATGGAAAAGGGAGAAAAAAGCAGGGACAAAAAAGCATCTAGTAATGAGAGTTTTGAGATGTGTTTGATGCGAAGGAAAAAGTGACTGTAGTGCCCATTTTCATTACAAACCAAACTTTCAACAACAAAAATTTGTCATTTCGTGGCTGTTTTCATTAATATTGCTGATGAAGAAACAAAATATATTGGAAGACAACAGAGCATCAACATTTTCCTGACTGCTGCCAATCACACTAATTAACAAAGAGGAAGAAAGTTGTGCTCTTGTCTTCACTTGGTTTGCTCCCTCAGTGCTATACATAGTAGAGAATCTGTGTCTCACCCCTTTTGTTTGTTTTATTTATTTTTTCTGTTGTCCCTGTGATTGTTTTCTTTCATAATCAGACCAATTAACTTGTTGACAGAAGAGAACCACTTGTGGAATTTTTTTTCCCCGAGTCTGGAGCAAAGTTGAACAGATAAATAGTCTTGTCTGTAGTGCAAGACAGGATGCTGTGGAGGGGGATTGCACCAGACACGTGTCATTAGTCACTCCCACAAGCCTTACAGGTGTGACATTAATCAGGTTGTATGCCATATTCCCAGAGTCTCACAGGGGTCTGACACCATCTGCATGGCTCCTGTGTTCAGGGTCACTAACTGGGTATGCAGAACAAGATCACTTCCTGAGGCATCCCTGCTTTGAACAGGCCCCTTCCACCCTGTGATGGATTCCTCCAACAGCCAGCACCTGAAGGGCATCGCTTTTCCGGCACTGATGGATGTGCCCACAGCTCAGTGAGCACCCCCTCCTCTCCTGACACTGTCCTGTCGTGTGGGCACTGTGTTTGGAGTGCTGAGTTAGTGTGGCAGCATCTGAGGAAATCAAGCAGGATGCCAATGGTCTTATCTAGAGACTTCTCACTTGTCCTACTTTCTTAGAGAATTTTGACAGACACTTATAAAGGGTCAAGGATATATCAGTTTGGGACTTGGTTCTCAGGTCTGTCATACCTTAGCAAGGCTTGGAGAAGAAGTACCTTTAAAAAGGTTTTGCAGTGCTTGCTTGCAAAGAAATTTCTCCATGTTACATCACCTGTGGCATCAGAGCTGGGAATGGGCAAATATTTCCTGCCTCCCTTTTCCACCAACCATGTGCAATAGCAGTTGTAGGGTAGACAAGTAATTAATTCTTAGCATTCTCTGTCTTCCTTTCATATCTGACTGTATATTCATCCCTTGAACTTGGCTGCTTAGTTGGTGGGGATTTTAAATCAAGCACCTGCATGTCAGACGTGTCACAAGGTGATACAGAGGGTCCATCTCTTGGGCCATGATTCCCATCAGTTCTGCTACAGTGAGATCCCTTAGGGAGTCATGTGTATCCAGCCCCAGGCTGCACAGTGGGGAAAAAGCCATCTTTGAGGTAGTTATCTGTATTTTAATTCAATAAAATAACTTGCTGTATTTCTTCCCTTGGGAAAATATCCACTGATACAGATTTAGCTGCAGTCAAACCTTGCAGTGTCAATATCTAAAGAGACAGACCTAGTTTCCTTTAGGCTTAGGAGTCTAACAACTTGGGAACGGTTTCTCTCCCTCCCTTCCCCCCGAGAGATCATGCTTGCTAGACGGGCTTTCCCAAATTCTCACAGCTCTAATCTGGATACCATTTAGTGTGACAGCCTTCTTCCCGGGTTCCCACAGCTGGTTAGTGTTTTGAATTCCAGCCTCGTGAACTCATATCAGGCTACATGGGCTAATGCTCCGAGCACAACCTAGAGCAGATATCTCTGATGACAGAGTAATGGAGAAACTGCGGTGCTTTCTGCCTCTTTATTAATGCACAGTCATTTGTGGTGTTCTTCAATTTCTGTGGAGAGGAGCTGACTGCAATGCCTCACAGAGGCATTTAAATGGTAATGGAGGTGAAAGTAAAATCATTCAAGTGTGTTGCTTGCAAGACCAGTAAACCAACCTGCTGCAATGGGAAAAGTTTATCAAATCCCAAGGGTCACAAATATGGCTAAAAATATCACTTAAATAATTACTGTCATATCCAGCTGAATTCTTACAAAGGAAAACCCCAGGAAAATATGTTCTGTTTTCTCTCATAACATCCAGGCTTCATCTTGGCTAAACAGTGTTTCAAATAGCAGGAGGCAAGGGCTGTCAAAGAGTGCAATGGGCACAGCACCCTCTGTTCAAGCCTGATGTGGAAAATGACATTGAATTCAGTGCCTTGGACTTGTTCAGGGCTGGTTTCAGAAGCAGCCTCCAGTTCAGGAGGGTACCACCAGCATATGGCTGGATTTGGGGGGGTATTTTGACCCTCTTTAGGTCAAAATGTTAGTTCTGAGCTACAGCTGATTAAAGGTGTGACAGAGGAAATTACATGGAGCTGGCTAATTCTTCACATCATCCAGAGTGGTTTGACAGTCTGCATCAGGGCAATATCAAATATATGTTGTCCATGCTTTGAGTCTTCTGTTGTTTTTTCTTTAAATTACAAAACAACAACAACAACAACAAAATAAATCCCTCCTTTAGAATGAAAAGCGACTGTGCATCAAAATGGAAATGATTGGTGGCACGTGTTGAGAGCATGGGAAGCAGTGGGTGGAAGTCAAGCATTTTGCCTGCAATTACACCATTCAGAATGCTATTAGGGAGATGTTTTACTTAAAAATTGTGGGGGTGAAGCTACACTCAGGGCACATGAGA